AGCCTGATTGACAACCAGTTTAGAGCGAACTAAGAGGGGACAGCGAAATGAATGGGTTCCGACATGACGACGTCGGCGAGCGTTTGTCTGCTTCCCCCGTGTGGAAGCAAGAAGCCCAGAAAATGCATGGTGCTTCTCTGGCCCGCAGACAAAACAGGCAGGCGGTACTACCGCGGCGCTTAAAGGCCATCATTAGGAGAGGGAGGGGGGGCTGGTGAGCTTGAGTGTGGATTCGGGAGTGCTTAGAAAAGGCGAGTCTACGAGCTCCCAAATTTGACAAGGCGCCTTCGATGGCGAAAGCTTTGCGCGCATGCGGCGTCGTGCCCGCAGGGTGGTGAGGCATGAGGCGACACATGTTTACAAACTCAGGACAACACAACACGAAGTCTCAAACACAGCTTTTATCATTCAGCACTTTCCTTTTGTGATGGCCCCCAACTTGCATTGACGCCAGGAGTCCGAAGCGATCACGGTCGATGTACTTGACCCTGAGGTACATACCGATGTATGCAATCTCTGCCTCCAGTTGAGACATCCGATGGCCCAACATTGCTGTGTTTGAAACTTTCTGTTGTGGTGTCCTTTTTTTTTCCCCGAGTCTCGGGGTTTTGTCGAAAACTTTTAACACTTGTTTGTCTACGTCTGCGTTAATACATCATGTTTGCCCGAGAATCCCTAAATGAAGGAACGTTTTTATTTTTAGACATAGCCAATTTGGCATAGGCACAGCTGCGGTTGATATGTAAAAGTTGGTATAGGAAAGAAAAAATTAAAGAACGCATGGTGCGGCCGATATCGGTGGTTATTCAATCATTGTATGAGTTGTCAGGGCAAGCTTCTTACTGTTATTTTACTGAACCATTGTTTTACTTTGTTTTCCATGGATATGTGCGTGAATATGCGAACGCGCTGCATTAATATGTTTTCATTCCAATATGGCAATTAATGTCAACCTGAAACCGACCTAATCTTAAGGAATTCGGAGATAATAATGTTTATTTTCCACCAAAAGATGGTGGCGATCAGGGAAAAAAGCTGTCAGGTACAGCTTGACGGGTCCCTGACCGCCTACAGAAAGCAGCAACAGAGCAAAAAAAAAAAAAAAACGATATTCAAGAGGAAAAAAAAAAATTGTGCAATGATTGTCGCTATCACACATTTTAAAACAAATTTTAGATTTTCCCCCCTTTTTTTACATTGAGGCAGGACAGACAGCAGAGATAAAATTATGCAAAAACTAGTCACAAAGATTACAAAGAAAGAAAGGCAACTACCTTCAGCTGCTAGAGAAAAAGGATGATTTTACTTCTCTTAGGGATAACTCATCCCAATTAATCTATACTTTTAGTCTTATACGAATTGAGTAGATTGGGGAGAGTGTATTTAAGCATTTGTTTGCCATAGTTTGTTTTTGGTGTAGCCACCTCCCAACATTCAGCACCTCGGGTAGGGTAATTATGAACATTTTTTTCTAAATTTCCAAGATCTGTTAAAAAAGTTGTGTCTTTAAGTTTCTCTACTTTAAGGCTAGTGCTAAGCCTATAATCATATAATGTATGCGCGTTTACGACGCGAAATTTCTGAAATAAGCCAGCTGTGTGAAAAATCATACGAGACGGCAGCTATAGCCCTCAGTGCTTTTTTTGGCAAAACATGTAACTTTTCTAGGTTTGTTAAAGTTGTTGTTCTTTAAACTAAATGGCAATAATTTAAGTGAGAATAAAATAGAGAATTATATATTAATAATTTAACGCTTGTTGGTAAAATATAACGATGACAATTTAACATGCCCACAATTTGGGATAGCTTTGGAATAAGAGAGTTTACATGACTTTCCCACGACATATTTTCAGAAAACGTGACACCTAAGAGTTTAAAACAATTCACAATCTCGATTTCGGTTGAATTCAAAACTATGTCCTTGGTAATGGTAACGAGTGTATTTTCTAGGACGAAGAAGCACGGCTTTGGTTTTATTTACATTTATTTGTTATGCGTTGTAATGACTCCACGTTTGTAACCTAGACAGGGCCAGATTCGCCATATCGAATAACAGATCAGGATCATCTGCAGAAAACAGTATGCTGGTGTCATCAGCATAGTTTACAAATTTTGCGCTTACATTAATATTGACTATATCATTCACGTATATGTAAAGAGGAAGGGGCCCAATATACTACCCTGTGGTACCCCAGAAGGAATAGGTTTTATAGTGGAAGAATTCCCATTGATATAAACATACTGCGCTCGATGCTCCAGATAAGATCTTATCAGCTGTAAAGCGTGCCCTCGAATTTCATAATTATCTAATTTCGATAGTAAAATTTTATGATTGAGGCAGTAAAACGCCTTGGTGAAATCTATAAAGACTCCAAGAACCATATTTTTGTTTTCAAAGCTTTGTAAAATAAATTCTTTTAAAACAAGTAGGGCAGATTCTGTCGACTTGTGTTTTATAAATCCATACTGTGATGGAGTTATCAAGTTATACTTATTTGAAAATTTAGTCAAACGTGTATGAAGAACCTTTTCGAGCGCCTTGGAAAACACTGGTAATATTGAAATTGGCCTGTAGTTTCCCATTTCATTTACATTTCCTTTTTTATGCAATACTGAAACTTTGGCAATCTGCATTCGCTTAGGAAAAATTCCAGTAGATAAAGAGATATTAAATATATGAGTTATTACAGGTGGTAACAGATGAATAACATGTTTTACCGGTCTTATCTGGATGCCATCGACGTCACAGCTAAAACAATTTTTAAGCTGAAGAAACACGCTTATAATTTCTGGTTCGACGACGGGATCTAAAAATACCGAATCACTGTTTCGTTTATAATTTAAAACCAAAGGAGTTTCGGTTTCAGTAGTACCCACAATATTTACAAAATGTTCGTTAAAAGCATTTGCTACTGAACACCCAGTAAGTTCAGTACCATTGCACAGATTTTTTTCAATTGAACTGAAGGGGCGATTACGATAAAGAAGATAATTTAGTTGCTTCCACGTGATGTCAGTGCGTCCTTGTGCGTCCTTGAACAAATCAAAATGATAACGCGTTCTGGCGCGCTTTAGTTCTTTTGTCAGGTTGTTGCGATAGTTTTAAATACTTTAAGGTCCTTCTGGTCCTTGGATTTTATCAATTTACCATATAAAGCGTTTTTTTTTTCTTAATTTTACAGAGTAAATCTCTTGTTATCCAAGGCTTCTTTATGCGCTTGTTTGTTTTAATAGAAGTGAAAGGAAAATTTGTCTTATACGGTCCAAGAAATAACTCTATAAAAGAGTTATAAGCCCCGTCAGCACTATCTTCACGCAGTACACGGCTCCAATTTGTATTTGAAACAGCGGTCTGAAAAGCGTTGAGTCAATCTAAAGTTATTTTTTGTACGAATGTCCGCTCTGTCCTACAAGTTTTCTTCGGGAAACTTTTGAGAGGAATGAATATTGGGAGGTGGTCACTCAGATCGCAAACAATGACGCCAGCTTTTATATAATCGACTGAGCTGTTTGAACTAAACAAATCAATGTTTCAGATTGGAGAGTAACACGTGTAGGTCTATTAATAACATTTGCGCAACCATATGTCCTGATTAGGATGTCGAGCCCCCCCTCCAAAGAAAGACTTCCGGAGCCTCTGCCTCCTTCCCGAATCGTGACGTCATATCCGAACTTATCCGAATCTTCGCTATCGCGCATCCTCAGCGCCTATCAAAGTTAAGCGCGCGCACTCTTGCCATTTTCAAAAAAAAAAAAAAAAGTAATAAAAAAAAAGACGTCATGACTGGTGTCAGTGCGGGGTAATATACCTTAAAGGGGTATTCACACGAGGGAGAAATCCGGGGGATTTCTCCCCGGCACGCGCACATCACGAGACGAAAACGTCAGGCTTTGCGACGTGCAAAAGCCTCGCGTTTTCATCTCGTCAGGCGCGCGTGCCAGAAAGGAATCCCCGGGATTTCTCCCTCGTGTGAATACCCCTTAAAGCCCCTCTGTGTCTTACAAGTAGCGCAAGGTGCGTCAATTCACGAGGCACGTGCAACGTGCAGCCCTTGGGAAGATCGTGGCGGCACAGCGCAGCACTGAGCTAGATTTCAGACGCCATGTTCTTTTCAGAAGTGGCGCGCGGCACGTGTCTCGAGCATTTCGTCAACAATGAATGGCGCCACTTTTTTTAGCGGATAGAGGGGCTTTAATTTACCTCACAAGCTTGCGATTGCACGCGCGCTGACCACACTGCGATTGCACGCGCGCTGACCACATCCTCGGCACCACACGCGCGCTGACCACACGAGCGACGCGCGTGTGGTGCCGAGGATTTGGTATGACGTAACGACGGGTCGGAGGTTTTTCGTGTTTTCTCGCGTTTGGTTACATTTTCGGGAAAAAGGAACGAGATATTCAGATTCTCAAGATAAAAAAATACTTTAAAATCCACCTCTAGCTTGACTTTTTTTTTAAATAATTTTTTTAGCTTTAAATAATAAACTGAAATCGTGAAATGGCAAGATAAATGTCATTTGTGACATGATTAGTTATCGAGTGCAAACGGGTATGGTATTGGCAAACGGTTTGCTGTTTGCTTTGCCATGCCTCGGCTAAAAACTTGGCGTTAATTCGCTAACTATAAAAAAAAGCAAGAAAAAAAAGTTTGACGTTTTTTTTTCCTTTTTGTAAGAAAGCAAAAGCAGCGGAGCTGTACTATGTGCCGCCATCTATAAGCGATGGCGACAACCAGACAACCGGTATGCCGACTGTCTGGTTGCCGCCTTCGCTCATAGATGGCAGTAGCTGTCCAGAGGGTTGTGTCGAGATTTATTTGTCCACGGAGACGACTCTGGGGAAACTAGCCCTTAACAGCTCCGCTGTAAAAACCCCGAATGCTTGTGAATTGATTGTGGCATGAGACACCTGAGAAAACCCGTGCATGTTGCCGAGGGGGGGGAGGGGGGGGTGGGACGATAAGAAGACTTCTGAACATGCGGTTCTATCACGAGCGTTTAAAATCGTCTCGTGTCACTGAAAACGTATAGCCCGTGCTTGAAAATGCCACGCAGCCGTTCCCCGCTTTACACCGAGCCCTCCCCGTGTGTCGTTCCAGGAAAGTTCGCAGCCGGCGCACTGGAGCGAAGCCCGACGCCGCGGCCACGTCCGTCTCTGTGTGTACCTGAAGTGAGGTAGTAGGTTGTATAGTTGAGAACTACATCTGCCAAGGAGAGCTAACTGTACAACTTGCTAACTTTCTTCGGGTCGCACAATGTTCGTCGGAGGTCAGGCTACCGGACAGCTACTCAAGGCTCCGTTGGAACGAGCTTCCAAGTCGCTTCTTCGAGGATGTCCAGGTGCGTACGTCGCTCACCTTTAGTTGCAATCACGAGATGCAGTCTAAGAAATCTGCACCGTCTACATTCCCGCCAATCGCTACGGGTGATTAATCGCAGCAATCTACTAGCTTGGCGAATGACGAGGCTGAAATTATGTTTAGATTTTTAACAGACAGTCTGCACTGAGACAACGAGCGTGGCTTTTCACCCAGCTCATTCTCACAACGCGTATACAATTTTTCTTCTAAGGTCTAAACATTAGAGGTATGCGAGCAGTGAAATTTCAACTCGAATCGAAGAGTGCCGAATGGTGACCAAAACATTGTAATGTCAAATCCAATGCAAATCCAATATGTATATATATATATATATATATATATATATATATATATATTTATGTGCACTGCTCACAAGACTGAGAAAAAAAGATCCGCATGGACAAGAAAATTAAAAAAAAAATTCTACATCTTCATTTTTTAGATTGGGTTGTCACCGCCAGACGTATTCAGTAGAAAGTCACTAAACGTCTCGAGAAATTAAGGTATGCAAACTTGGCACTTCTGTGGCCGCCTCAATGAGCTCAACGTCGAACCAGGACTGAAATTGCAGTTTCCAACTTCGCCCTTGTTTGAAAAGAAAATACGCTTTAACAAAGTTGTTGACTCTAATATCTCTCTCCTTGTGTTTTTTTAGAGTAAACCCTTAGTATGAATCAGAATCAACTGGTCCAACTCGCATTCTTAACTCTAGCAAACAAGTTCAGATTAGTCATTAAAAACAATAATTCCTGCTGGTTGCCAGGCGTTTTCTTTTTAAGAGGGTTTCTAGCTCAGGTGATTCGTACTATTTTACCTGGAAAATATTATTTAGAGTCAATTATCTGCATAACAGTTATACAGATAACTTTTTCTGCACTAAATAAAAAATAAATTAGAAAACAAAGCTCGCGGCGTCGTAAAGAGTCGGGAAAGGGGGGGGGGGGGGGGGGGGGGAGGCATATTATATGTTTGATGAGTCGCAGGGTATAGCAAGGTGCCAGAGTTTCGGGAAGCACTCCCCTACGTGCTTATTCTTCTGCAGGGCACACTGAAAGAAGGAAGGCTAGCACGAATAAAGAGGGTCGTTAAAAGGCGAATTCGGGGTGTTGCGTGCCAGACCAATGAAGAACATCTGGTCCGCCTGAGCGGAGGACTAAGGACGACTTTAGACCACCTGGGGATTTTTTTCACGTGCCACCGAAACCTCCTTTGCACGGTGCCTTCTCCACAGTTGCCCTCCGTCGGATTACGGGCACCTCGGCCGGGATAAAAACAGTCGGGCTGGGCGAATGATCGATTAACCGTAGAATTAATCGAATGATGCTTTAGTCGCGATACATTCTTTTAAACTGGTTAATCGGTTCAACTGAAAACAGGGTGAACCGAACAAATATAAAAGCTTTCCCTTTTTTCATACCGCCGTGCTCTTTTTCTCCAGAACGCGAACATTATCCTGTTCGTCGGCGATGAACTCACAAATGCCAACACCGTTACTCATGCTTAAGGCAGGGCTGTATACCAACCGATTACAGCCGGTGTGACTGAATTATACTCTGCCGCCTCCGCATAAACACGGCAGTAACGGCAGCGTTACAAGCTAAACTGGACAGTATGAGGTGGATCCGACACCCATGACGAACCGGGACCTGTTATTATCGGTAACTGCACTCGATTTGGTACCGAAAACTTATACCTCTGTCAGACGGTCACCTATGGTCCTTTACGCCAAAGGCCTTTAGTATCTTCAAAGACCTTTACGTTCTGCCGTGCCAGACAGCGCAAGTCAATGTCATTTAGACGATGTTTACAGCGATTGAAGTCTCGTAGCTTGGTTCAAACGCATAAATCATGTTTACGCCAGAAAAATATTATTTTGGCGATAAAAATATTTTTTTTTAAGTTTTTATCAAGCAAACAAATTATTAAAAAAGACAAAATGACGAGTTCAGTCAAGTGATTATAACAAAGTCCACTTTAAGCCCAAGCAAAGTGTTCTTTTGGCAATTAGCGGCAACCCTGAGCGTCCCCCGCTCACTCAGTTCTAGTCCTACGTTGCTCGGAGCTCCCGCTCCTTTCCGTGCTTCTGCTACGCTTTTGCCCTGTTCGGTTCGGTGTCGTGCTCGCGCTTGAGGCTCATCGCACGCGTCAGAGGTCCTCCAGACGATCCTCCCAAAGTCGTATCAGCGCCCAGGTCGCCTCAACGCTCCAATGGAAGCGCGGCGACCCCTTCCTACTCGTGGACGCTCCTCCGTGGTCCGACGTATCGCACGACGCGAGAGTGAGATACAGAAATATATATGTACAAAAGAACATTAGATATATACAGTACGGATAGTAATATAAGTAGAGAAATAAAAGCTAGATAAGGTTGTACGGAAAATTGAGAGGAGGAAAACCGAAGTGCCGAAGCGGGCGACGCGAGCAGGCGACGGCGAGGCCTACTAGATAGCTGGGGCCGTCAGTACAGAAAACTATTTGGCGAGGTTTGCACAGAACATACGTGAAAACTCTTTTGTAATAATAAAAATGCAAACGCATTGATTTTAGATATTGGTACAATCATTTATTTCAATTCGCTGTAAACCCTTCCTGACGAGAGTAGGCCTTTAGCACCCGTAAGGGAGTTGTGGGAACTCAGGTTCACGAAAAAGACCTTTACGCTAAGTGCCATTTGAGTTGCCGTGTGGCACTGCCTAAATGACATTTACACTAAAGGTCCTTTGGCGTAAAGGTCATTTTATGTGCCCGTCTGACAGGGGTATTAGTCACAACGGAGCATCTCCTTTGGAGATGTCCCGCTACTACACGAACACGACGAGCAATAGTATGTGACCTTCCCGCTCGGCATCGCCCCGAGACCCTCTCAGAGTGGATAAGACCAGAGGGCGAAGCTCAGGAAAGGAAGGTGGTACGCGACTCTCTCTTGACATTTATTTGGGAGACTAGCATCAGAAACCACTTTTAAGACTTCCAACTCCCCCTATATGCTATCCCCCTCTCCACCCACCACACACACCAAAATACGTTTCAAACAAAACAAAAACGAATACTAGAACTCCGAAAGTCGAATCGAGGTATTCGAGCAATCATTATTAGGTTCCAGTTGGGAACTGGAATATTCGCACGGCCTTACTAAACATATTGTCAGCCTCGTCATTCGCCCAACCCTCTCTGTAGATTGCTGCGATTGGCTGGCCGAAGTGATTTACGCGAAAGTAGGTGCTCTATAGAATTCTAAAAGCGCCGTCACACTGAGGAAACAGCTGGACGACCTGGACCGTCAAAACGAGGGTTCCAGCGACAATGCATTAAGGCAACATGAACTGTCGGAAAAACATGTTTTTGTTGCCCGGCAAACATGCTCGCTGATTTGTTCTCCGGAGTCGACATCATGTTTACCTGTTTTCGTGTGCGGTGCGGGGTCGATGGAAATGTGCCGCTACTAAATGCCAGTGCGTTCGAAGGGCCAAAGATCACCACGAGACGACTTCCGCCAGTGACACTGATAGCCACTGACTCCAAAAGGCATCCCTGAAATAGTAACTCAAATATTGGGCAAAATATGTTTTTTTTTTTCGCAATGTTATTGAGTTTACAGTCTTGGTCCTCACCGTGTTTTTCAATTCGAAAGTCTCTACTGGCCACTATGAAAAAGTGATGTAAGCGGAAGATTTTTTTTTTTGGTCGGTAGACTGTTTTCAACTGATTACAAAAAGTTCCATGGTGTCAATGAATGCTTTCGAAGTTCGCTCCAGCACCTGCGCTGCAGCACGAAACAATTGCTCGGCATAGTCCATTTTGTAGACTGCCCGCTCGACCTGCAAGCCTGCCTTCCACTGACGTCACGGCACTGTAATGCGCGCGAATATCTGAGTGTATGTTTTGGCATAATTTTCATTTGCCGATTTCACAATAACGATTCGGAATTTCACGATACTAAATAGCATACCGTAGAGGGTAAAGTCCGGTGATTTTAAATATTGTTAGTTGGCGTAGCTGAAAAAATCCCCGGAGTACCAGGCTGCTACCATCTTAGGGCGGTGTTGATGTCTGCTTTTGTCATTTGCCTGTAAGCATGACGAGTTTTATCCCTCCGGGAATATCAAGTACTAGACCTAAAACCTTTTCCAATTTTCAACGCAAGTTCTCGAACTTGATTTCAGGGCTTCGTGTGTGGACAGCCAGGCGCCTGGGAACATTCGACCCGCTCATACAAGCTTGCCAATGACCTTCCACGATAGCTTCGTTTTCTTGTCACCATTATGTGACGTTGATTTCGTAAAAGTAGCCAATACTCCTTGTCACCCCGAGGAAAGAAAAAGAAAAATGCAAGTTTCTGTGCATAGTCCATACGCTGCGCAGAGTAGTCCTTACAAGCTCTGGTTGTAAGTCTTATTGTGCAACCACCAGACCAGCACAACTGCAAGCACGTCCATGTCGGTCTCGGTAACGAAATCTCTCAAGCGGTATGTTCAGCCATGGCAGTTCAGCCAAGCAGTTCCGGTCTAGTCGCACAGATTTCTTGTAATGCCGTTACTTGTCACGCATTGCGACGTGCCCCCGGACACCGATGCTCGCAAGCGTTGTCTCCGGGCGTAGACCTCACCTTTCGACCGAAAGCTTCAGCTTTCGTCATTCGCAAGAGACTACGCCTGTAGATGTATTTAAAAGATGACGCAACACGCGTCCATTGATCTACATCGATAAACCGCTAAAGTATACCTCATAGCTGTGACGTCGTTTCTTTCTTTCTTTGCGTTTTTCCACGGTATATTTAGCTTCGTGGCGTACCGATAGAGCTTATTGGTGTCGATAGCTATCAAGAGGCAAGTCCTTTTATGTACAGGCAGGGTAGGTGCTCGTGTCTCCAGGTTACAACTGGAGACGGACATCGCAGTACTCGGTGCACCTGAAATGACAAAAAAGGCATATCATTATGTTTTTGTAGCAGCAGCCGATGTGTACTACAGCGTTGTTGTT